AAAAAAAAAAAAAATTTATTTATTTCAGGGGCGCCTGGGTGGCTCGGTGGGTTAAGCGTCACACTTTGGCTCAGGTCACGATCTCACAGTCTGTGAGTTCGAGCCCCGCGTCAGGCTCTGTGCTGACCGCTCAGAGCCTGGAGCCTGTTTCAGATTCTGTGTCTCCCTCTCTCTCTGCCCCTCCCCTGTTCATGCTCTGTTTCTGTCTCAAAAATAAATAAACGTTAAAAAAAATTTTTTTTAATTTTATTTATTTTTAGTAATCTCTATACCCAATGTGGGGCTCAAACTCACAACCCCGAGATCAAGAGGCATATATATGCTCTTCCAACTGAGCCAGCCAGGCACCCCATCAAATGGATTTTTATAAAATAATGCTCACTCCAGGGGTACCTGGGTGGCTCAGGTGGTTAGGCATCCGACTCTTGATTTCCACTCAGGTCATAATCTTGCAGTTGTGAGATCAAACCTGCACTGAGCATGGAGCCTACTTGGGATTCTCTCTGCCTCTTGTTCTCTGCCCTCCCCCATTCACACTTTCTCAAAATAAATTTTAAAAAATTATGCTTATTCCAAATTTTTATACTTCTCTCTGTAGACCAGTAACAAACAGTTCACAAGCCACATTAGTCTATGGACCACACAATGTGGTAGTAACATTAACTGTCCAAACAGAGTATGAGCACTAAAAACAAACACATGAATGCTACATATATATACATGCTACAAACATCGAGGTACTCCAGTGGCAACAAAAATACACAAAATGTTTTATATCCCACACAAATGAGGAGTAAGGTGCAGTACTATTTAACTTTCACTGTTAGCCATGATGGAAGTTAACAGGTACCAGATTCACCCTCCCACCTCAAAAAAATAAAAAAAATGGCCAAGTACATGAAACATCAGTTTTCAACACTGAACAGTAGTAGCACAGGACAGTGATCTGAGAGAAGGGAAACAAATGAGATGAGTCCTACAAGTGTCCCCAACTTACTGCCTACAGAATTTTGTTCACAGCATAGAGGAGCAACCCAAAAGGAGTATTGTCTCACAGAATTGAGACAAGAGTTTGGGGCTTGGAGAGGCCTTGGTGGCTAGAATTTACAGGACAGAATGAAGAGATAGCAAGCTCAGATATCTGCAGAACATTCCCTCCAGCCTTTGGCTAACTGCTAATCAGCTTCTGCTTGAGAAAACTGAGGCCTATATAAGAATTACTTAGAAATGAGTAGATGAAACAATCTTCAGATATCACATAGGGTCTAGAATAACTCATGTTCCCAATAGCCAAGGTAGAAAGACCTATACCACACAGGGCAAGTACTGCTTTAGTAATGGAGTTAAATTAACACTGGAGACCTGTTCCAGGCCTGCCTAACAAAACATAAAGGCAATCCTCAATAGGACCAAACTGTTTCCAAGTAACTGCCTCCCAGAGTCAAAACAAACAACATACATACAGGGGCACCTGGGTGGTTCAGTCCGTTGAGCATCTGACTTGATTTTGGCTCAGGTCATGATCCCAGGGTTGTGGGATCAAGCCCTGCATGTGGCTCCTGCTTAAGATTCTCTCTCCCCCGCTCTTGTCCCTCTCCCCCACTCATGTTCATCAAAACAAAACACACACAAAAAACAAAAACCCAGCACTGCAACAAACCTCACAATGTCTGGTAAGTTACATAAGTAAAAAATTATCAGGCAAACAAAGAAGCAAGGAATTAAAATCCATAATAAAGAAAGGATATTCAATAGAAACAGACCCAAAAAGGACATAGATGACAGAACTAGACAAGGACATTAAGACAGTTATTTAAAATGTATTTCACATGCTCTGGGGCATTTGGGTGGCTCAGTCAGTTGAGAGTCCAACTTCAGCTAAGGTCATGATCTATCTCATGGTTTGTTGAGTTCAAGTCCCACATAGGGCTCTCTGCTATCAGCGCAGAGCCTGCTTCAGATCCTCTGTTGCCCTTGCCCCCGAGCATCTCTCAAAAATAAATAGAAAAATTTAAGAAAATGTATTCCACATACTCAAGAATGTAAAGCAAAGCATGAGCAGGAGAGAAATAGAAGATACTTTAAAAAACAAAGAGAAAGACTCAAGTCAAAACTTCTGGAGACAAAAATACACTTAATAGGATTAACATCAATCAGACTGTGAAGAAGAACATTATCAGGAATTAAAGATACTTGGGGCGCCTGGCTCGCTCAGTCGGAAGTGCATGTGACTCTTGATCTTGGGGTTGTGAGTTTGAGACCGATATTGAGTATAGAGATTACTTAAATAAACAAACTTAAAAAAAAAGAATTCAAAAACAGCAGTAGAAACTACCTAAATGAAAACACAAAGATTTAAAAAAACAAAAAGAACAGGGGTGCCTGGGTGGCTCATTCGGTTAAGCATCTGACTTCTTGGTTTCTGCTCAGGTCATGATCTCACAGTTCATGAATTCGAGCCCCGCATGAGGCTCTCTGCTTTGGATCCCATCTCCCCCTCTCTGCCTCTCCACTGTTCTCTTTCTCTCTCAAGAATAAATAAACATTAAAAAAAAAAAAAATAGAACTTTGTGAGTATGAAACACTAAGCATACAAACATACATGTTGACTGGCTGCCTGAAGGGATATGGATAGGAAAGGAAATATTTTCTTTATTTTTTTTTTAACGTTTATTTATTTTTGAGACAGAGAGAGACAGAGCATGAACGGGGGAGGGTCAGAGAGAGGGAGACACAGAATCTGAGACAGGCTCCAGGCTCTGAGCTGTCAGCAGAGCTGGACACGGGGCTTGAACTCACTGACTGTGAGATCATGACCTGAGCCGAAGTCGGCTGCTTAAAAGACTGAGCCACCCAGGCGCCCCGGGAAAGGAAATATTTAAAGGAATGGAGGAAAATACTTAAATGATGGCAAAACCAAAACAAACACAATAAAAACAATAAGCAGTAAGTTCACAAAATAAACAATGGCAGAAAACTTGCCAGTTTTGATGAAAAGTATAAATCTCAGATCCAAAAAACAAACCCCAAGCAAAAGAAATATGAAAAAACACACACCAAAGCATTTCATAAATTGCTAAAAGGACTTGTGGCTGGCTCAGTTGGTATGGCATGCAACTCTTAATCTCAGGGTCGTGGGTTCCAGACCCACGCCGGGTGTAGGAATTATTTAAAAATAAGTCTTTAAAAAAAAATTTTAACATTTATTCATTTTTGAGAGTGACAGAGACAGAGCATAAGCAGGGGATGGGCAGTGAGAGGGAGACATAGAATCCGAAGCAGGCTCCAGGCTCCCAGCTGTCAGCACAGGGCCAGACGCGGGGCTCAAACTCATGGACTGCAAAATCATGACCTGAGCTGAAGTCAAACGCTTAACCAACTGAGCCACCCAGGCACCCCAAAAATAAAAGTCTTTTTTAAAAGTTTCAGAAAACCAGTGATGGGGGGAAAAAAACATAAAAATCAGGCAAAAGGAAAAAAAAGAGACTTGTATAA